AACATCAGAATGGGAAAGGCAGGGTGTACAGCAGGCATGGGAAGCAGGGAGGAGGCTTTAGCTTCTCAATTTATTTCTAAGTACCCTGGTTTGCTGGAGGAGTGGGATTGCCCCCGCAGCCGGTGGGCTGGCCGCGGCGACACGACGTCCCCCTGCTCCCTGCCCTTCCAGCAGCTTTTCCTCCCCGCTGGGTTGCAGGGCACGGCCGCTGCTTTCGAGGGGCACAGACAGACGGGCAGGAAAGGCGAGAGCCTCGGACTCGTGGAGTTCCCTCTGCTGCTTCTGTTGGGGACGAGTCCCTACCTGCCTCAGAAGACTCTAATCTTAGCCACTTCTTTGTTTCCTGATTTGGGTATTTTTGGTTCTTAGCATTTGTTTCTCTGTTTTGTTTCCCACTATGCACCCAACAGGAAGAGCCCCTCGCAAAGTCCTTCAGAGTAAGAAGAAGGAAAAAAAAAATAAAGGTCCAGATGACATTTGCTTTCTGCAGGCGGAACTGAAAGCAGGCAGCAGCCAACATTTCCCCAAAGCTTCTCACCACCTCTGCTCTCTCCATGAAAAACATAAAGGAGATTGGATCCTGCAAGAAAACCATTTCTAGAATGCCAGAGACCTCAGAATAGCCTGTTTTCTCACGTGCACTGGCTTCTCCAGTGAGGGAGGACTCAGGTCTTGAAGTCACATAAGCTCAGAAAGGTGATACTCAAGCAGTATCTTGAAAATAAACGCCTATATTTCACGGAAGGGAGATGAACCCTTCGTGCGCATCGTAGCCCTGCGGTCTGTGGGTGCTGGGAGGGCCAGCTTGGGCTGGGTCCTGAAATGCCCATTTGTTCTTCTTGAGAAAGTTGCTGGAAAGACTGGGAGAGCAGGTCCGCGAGGCTGCGCGGGGGTGGCTCGGTCATCGTAAGAGCACGTTCATCTCTTCTGCGAGCAACCCGGTTGAAACAGGATGGTCTTCGTACCTAAGAATCCCCACGCTGTCATTAATCAGTTGTTCTTTCCATGGTTTTGGGGGGCACGGAGAATGTTTTCTTTGCCACCAAGGATCCAAAGACACCAAAATCCTGCTCCAAGTTATTGATAGCTTCTTAGATAGAGGCCGGCCTGCGTGCCGGTTCTTGCTGTAAAGCTTTTTTTACTGCAACATGGCAGAAACAACCCTCTTCTCTGAGAATCATATTGATTGCATTACGCACTGTAATTAGTGTAGCAGGCTGTGCAGTTGGGGAAGCGATGACAGAGCTGACTTTAACGAGTAGCGAGAGCTGCATTCTTTTAAAATGATTTCATCTCAAAAAGCGCATTGGGAATTTCTAGTCCCGGAGCCCTGGGCGGCCGGATCTTCCTTCCGTTGCGCGGTGAGGAGGACCGGGGTCGGCAGCGGAGGCGGGAGCCGTGAGGAGATGGGCCGATGGCTGGGGGCATCAAAGCTGTCTTAGGACTCATCCTGCCCTGCGGACGGTTCAGTGGAGAGGAACCTCGCTGGAGGCCGGGAGCTTTGCTTCCCAAAGTGATGCTCCTTGCCTACCGAAAATCCATGCACGGAGCAGGTGACGAAGAGCTTTTTGAGATCGGCAGCATGGAGGAGGCTGCGTGAGCGGTGAGAGGCCATGGTGAGGCGAAAGGCCCACCTAGCAGCTCCTCTGCCTTCCAGGTGATAAACCCATGCTTTCATATTCCGTTTGCTGTGCAGACACTCACCGTCTTGGAGGCTCACTATCGCAGCTTAGCTGCGTAGAGCCAGGCACCGTGGCATACAGGTATGATACCAGCAGGCTCTGGCTCCCAGAATACCAGCTCCTCTTGCAGCACTAACAGTGAAGGGAATGTTCTGGTTCCTGCTGCCCAGAGGAAAACACTCCACATTTTCCAATGCCTCTAACATGCTCTTTCCATCAGAGGGCAGAAGCATGCTTGTGCACAGATAAAATAAATCAAAATGACCTGCCCTATGTGCCGTATAGCTCGTTGCATTAAAGGAAGGTAGGACATCATTACGAATGACCAGACAACTACACCTGCTAGAAAGAAAAAGAAGCAAGAATCAGTGCTTCAAGGGTTAATTTCTGCAATTTGGGTGAACCTGGTGGTCTTTGTAGCACCTCCTTCTGTTTAAAGTTGGAAATAGATTTAAAATATGGTAAGTACCAATGTCAAACAGTTTTGTTAAAGACTAATACAGGTAATTACTCATTTTTTGAAAGACTGACAATTTTGATGACAGAAAAATGCAAAAAGGTTGTTTTAAATAGTGACAATTATTAGAACATTTTGAGGATTTCTGTTCACAGTCTGCCTGTGAGCGTTCCCTGTTTTACAGCCTTCTGTGAAAGATGTGGTGCACTGCTGTATCTCATTTCTATACGCATGTAATTCTCTGACATAATAAAGGTGTTGCCCATAATTACAAAGGGAAATCTTTAGTTTCTGTTGAATCCAGTGACACAGCTTCTGCGAAGAGTGGAGAAGCCAAGAGTTTGGCCTTAAGCAGCTATGGACCTCAGAGTAGTTCAGGCCAACAATTTAACCTTCTGTAGTCTCCTCTAGGTGCCATTGCAGTGGTGATATTTATGACATGGGTGCTTTCCCCCTAGACATTGGACCCAATCCACGGGTCTACCCTTTCAGTTTTGAGTTGCACCGTCAGAGAATGCCAGCTCCGCTCGTGGGAGCTGCCGGCGAGAGGCACCGGCCCCTCGGCAAGTGCTGGAGCTGGTGGAAGGCCCAGATACCCCGAGATGGACCCGGGGCAGGCGAGGAGGGCTTCAGGGTGGTGGTTGCATGGAGGCATGAACCAGAGGGAAGCTGCTGTGCCAAGAGTGGCGTTTTAGTTTTAAGGTGCTAAGTTGTAACTCAAACTGAAGGGAAGAGAATTACAAGAAAACACAACGTTCAAGGTCAATATTTCCTGGAGACACTCTTGGATGTTGAGGGTGGTTGATTCTTTTAAATAAAGGAGGTTGAGGTTTTACATTCAGCTTGAAATGGAAGAAAAATGTTTGTCATGTTCTATTCTCTGTTAATACATGGAACGTTTCATTCTGGGCTTAGACAGTCAGGGGCTGAAACAATGAACTTCTGCTGTTGTGGTCTAGTAGGTACCAAATGATCATCGGTTAACCCGTTACCCTTTTCACAGAGACTTCATCCTTTTATGAAAGGTTTCAGAGGCAGCGTAGGCTCTCCTGGCCACTGCCCGCACACGAGCCTACCTGCACTTCGGCCCATGGTGTGTGTGCTAGTGCTGCCCATTTTGTTCGTTTTGGAGGGGAGGGGGGTTGCCTTCATCCTTTCTGGAGGTTGGGTATTTTGTTTGGTTTTTTTTTGTCCCAAGTTGGCTACTGGTCCAAGCAACGTTCCTCAGGTGGCTTCTCCTCAAGCGCGAAGGAGGCACGTCATGGCACACCACGCGGTGACAAGAGGAAATCGGGGTTAAACATAACTAGAAAAATGTTTTTATAATCCCGGACAGGTATTTGGAACAAATTGTGTTTGCAGCCTGGAGCTGAGAGGGAGGGCCCTGCCCCTGTCTGCATGGGGCCACATTTCCCTCCACCTCAGGACCGAGCCTGGTGCTCTCAGGAATCGGCTCAGCAGCTTCATCCCCTTCCCCTCGGAGAAGTGCCGGTTCCCCGAGACGAGAGAGGAGAGATGAAGCGATGGCCTCGGGGATGCCACTAGTCCTGCTGCGGCCCTTTCCCTCCCTCCAACGTCCGTCTGGTCTGGTGGGACCCGTAAACCGCTGTTACTCAGGGCTGAGGTTTTCCCACATGCTCTGGAGCCTTCCTCCCCCCATATCCCTCCCCTCTCCCTCAGGAGCCCCAGCTCAGGGACAGGGATGAGGATGGGGACGGGGACGAGGACAGCCCGGGGGTTCCCTGTGGGGTCGCACCCTATCCCCACCTCATCACGGACCCGTGTGATCAGAGGTACCATCCCCCTCTCAGGGGAAAACATAAATCGTGTTGCTTTTACAAAACTTCTTGTTTTTACAGAGGCATTTCCAGTGTGGAGGGGTTTTTCTGGTGTTTTATCAGGGACGGCGTTTCTAGTCTGAATTAGGCAGAGAATGCAGATGGCTTGATAAGGACAGAAACAGTAGAAGATGAATCAGACTCAAATTGGTATTTTAGTACAATAATTGCTTTTGGTGAACCTGCGAATGCCCTGAATCGAATAGTTTTGAAGGAACCAAACACTTCTTGCCTGACTTCTACATGCGCTTACTAGTTCAGTAACTCAATTCAAGTTCAGCTGGCAGGCGTAGCTTACAAGTGAGAAATCAGGAGCCGTTTGCATGAGGGGAGAGAAGAGTTCTTCAACAGAAAACAGGTCAATGAAATGTTTACGGGGCTGAAGGCACGAGCGCGGCAGGAGCCCCGGGGCCCTGGGAACCTCGCCACAAGCTGTCGGCGTGACCTGCGAGGCGGCCGGGGGATTTTCTGATGATGGTGGGGACAGGGCAGCCCTGGCTGCTCCATCCCAGAGATAACGAACTGCTCCGGGCTCCCAGGCCCTGAGCCCAGTTTGGTTAGAAAGGTAAATGGGTGATGGTGGCCGGGCACTGCGGGTTGGAGCCCAGACTCTGACACTGCAACAACGGCTGTGCAAAAAAGGGGATGGAGGCGACTCGCAGGCGTCATTAACGTCCCAGAAATGCCATCAACTATTTTGGGCAGCAGTGGGGGGAGTAAAACCAGGCAGGTAAGTGGCTGGGCTGCCAGCAGCGAGACAGCGCTGCGCACGCGGGATGTCGGGCTCACTGGATGGGGTGATGGAGCAGGGGTTAATTGGAAGATCCAGCTCTTGTTGTCCAGAGAAATGCAGATCTGGCCTTGAAGCATTTCCCAAGGTCTTGGCACTTCATTTCGTAGCTGTGTCTCATGCTCTGAATATTCCCAAGGCACTCGCTATCGTCAGATGTCGTCTGACTGTCTCTCGGTTGCTGTTTGTTTCTGTGGTTGCACGTTGATAAGGTATCTGGTTATGTCTTGCAGCCCTCAGAATCCAAGCCCAACGTCACCCCTCTCACCGTCCTGGCCCATGTTCTCCGCACCATCAAGTCCTATGCCCACCTCCTCTACGTCCAGCGACTCATCCCCCATCAGGTCTGTTGCAGAATTCGCTTTGCTTTTTGTTGCTTTTGCTCTTTTCTGTTTGATTTACTCGGTTTCCCCCCACTTCGCTTTCCTTTTCCCTTTGCATCCTGCTCAAACTCCCCCAATGCAGCTATCTGCACTCAGCAAGAGAGGAGCTTTCAAATGCCTCCAGCCCCAGGGGAGACCCTTTGGATCCCCGCAGTGAGCCCCATGGCCGGTACCCGCTGACCCCCATGGGCAGGCGAGTGGGAGCCGGCGCTCATGGGTCGCGCTCGCCGTGCTGGGCGTCGGGTTTCTGTGGTTTTGCCCAGCCATTCCAGCTCTCGCAGTTTGCTTCGCTCCTCTCTGCAACAGGTAAGACGTGTAACTGCCTTCCCGGGTGCTGCGAGGGATAACAAGCCTTTGTAAAACGCTGCGATACCTCATTTTCTGACTGCTTCCTTTTCTTATCTGGAATCTAAGGCGGGTAAAGAACAGGGGGCAACGCAGACTTTTGCTGTTGGGGTACCCGTGTCTCAGGCACTTGGGCATCACCGGAATAAATCAGTCCTGGGAGCTACAGACCGACTGAGGGCAGATTCCCAGTGGGATGCTGGAGCAGCAGGTCAGGCCGTGCTGCCCGCCAGCGCCTCAGGGCTGGGGGGTGCACATCCCCCCTGGGCTGTGAGGTCCCGGGGGATGCTCATGCCTCGCCTCTGGGCTGTGGGCAGGGTGCCCTGGGGTGGGATTTCTCCCCTCCGAGCCCACCCCTGGCGCAGGGGAGCGAGAGGCCGTTGTCGGCCCAAGCAGAGCGCGGCTCCCAGCCCCTTGGCACCGGGAGCACCGATCCCTCCTCTTAGAGGAGACGTGTCAAACCTGTTTGTTCACGACAGGCACAGCCCGAGCTCTTCCCCTGCACCTACAGCCCTGCAAATGCTGCCTGTGCAACGGCTGCCTGCTCGTCAGGGTTCTTTATTTGGTTTGCTTAAGCGTCTGCAAAGGCTGACGACGGGGTAATACCATCCAAGCAGCCTTCCCGCTCTGGAGGAGAGAGGTTCATCATCCCCAAAACAGCACAAGGGCAGATGGGTGAAGCTCCTGAGTGCTTTGCTGGCCTTGTGCTGCACTTGGAGGCAGAAACCTCATGTGAGCGATCGCCGGGGTCCAGCGTTTCAGTCCCTGAAAGCCCCCCGAGCTCTGACGGACGCAGCCACAGCCCAGAGAGCAACAGGCGGGCGAAGGGGCAGGATGGGGCTGCGGGGATGCCGGGCTGCCGAGGTCATTGCTAAGGGAGAGAAACAACATGAATAACTCGAGGTAGTAAGTCTGAAAATACCTTTTGTTTTTCACCTGACAGTCTGCCCAAGCACTGTGAACAGTGCCTGCCTGGCAGCGAAGCACCCTCTCTGGAGCAGGAGGAGTGTTTGCTCACCCTGGTTTTTAAAGTGTTTGGCGGCTGCTCGCGTCAGGCAGCTGGAATTTGGAGAGGAGAGATCTCTGCTTTGGGGCTGACTTCACAGCAAAACCAAAACCATTCACAGCTTCCCTGGTTTGTGGTTGCTGTGTGAAGGTGAACCGCTTTTGCCACGAGGTGAAAGCGTGCCGCTTCCCTGGGCTCACTCGGAGAGAATTCAAGGCCTCAGAAAGATAGAAGTTGGTGAAAGCGCTGACCTGAGGAATGGTGACACCTTGTTCCTTACCCCGGCAGCTCTTGGGAGCACTTCCATCACTTTGCTTGGCTGTGCCGTGGCCGAGCAGCTCGCTGCAGTGCTGGGGGCAGCCGGCCCCGTGCCCGAGCAGGTTTGCACCGTCGCTGTCACTGTGGCCCGGCAATGTCCCAGCTTTTCACCAGCTTTGCTCGACCCCAAACCCAGAAAGGATGGGTGGCAGGCTCCGGGGGCAGGGGACAGCCCTGCGTGCCTGCACTTTGCTGATGGAGTCCTGAGGTCCTTCATTTTCTCCCCGCGTCTGCTGGCGATTTGCTCCATTTCTGGCTCTGCTCTAATTCACTCCTCCGCAGCGTGGGCACACTGACACTTCCCCAGGAAAAGCTAATGGTTGTTAAATCTTTTTTATCTTCAGGTACAGCCTCTAAAGAAGTGCAGCAAATTCTTCAAGGACCTGCTTGCTTTTCTGTTTCGAAATACCCTTCCCCAAGTGCTAATAACGCCTCCCGAAATTCCCCTCGTGGTTGCAGCTGCACTGGGAGAGCGATGGGCTTGGTGGCGAGCGGGGCTGGTGGGCAGCGGGTTGCTGCCGGCTCCTGCTGCCCACCCGCGCTCCGTGCCAGCCCCCAGTGGGTTACAGCCCTTCAGAGAATCCCAAAACATTCCCAGCTCCCCCCTGAACCCCCCGTCTAGCGCCCAGAGCTCTCCCGGGGAGTCCTGGGCACTGGGCACGGGCTCTGGTCCTGGCAGTGCCGGCTGGGCTTGGACTGGGATTTGCAGTGCAGTGAAAACTGGAGGGCCCATCCCTGAGAGCCTTCAGCCTCCTCTGGCGTCTTCCTCGCTCCTCCCCTGAGCTGTGTAACCCTGGACTCTTGCAGAGCAGTACAAGTCCTTGGATCCTTTTCCGGCAGGCATCACTTCCATGGATCCCTCTTCGGCGCAGTGCAGGGGGGGAGTGCTGTTGTGTATGAGGAGGGAGAGTATTTTTTATACCAATAAATGCTTTCTTTTTGCAGCTCGCCGCTGCGGAAAGCCCGAGCTTTGTACGCCTGTAAAGCAGAACACGACTCGGAGCTCTCCTTCACGGCGGGCACCGTGTTTGATAATGGTGAGTCCCTGAGCCGGCGGGAGGGGGAGTGGGGGGGGGGGGGGTTCCATTTCCAGCCTTGGGGCTGCGGTTCCCGGGGGAGGGGGGGGCTCTGCCCGGTGCCGTAGGAGCTGTGCTCGCTCCGTGCCCGGCGCTGAGCTTCCCCGGGGCTGAGCCCGGCGCGGGGTTTGCTGCTGAACCAAGGGCAGAGCGTGGCGGGAGGGTGGGGGGACGTACCGGGGGGTGTTGTAACACACCATCAAATTAGCTTCCTTCTAACGACCGGGGCACGGCCTGTCGCTGGCAGCCGCCCACCGCGCTGCCGGGAAGCGGGGCCGGGAGGGAGATCGGCCAGAGGCTCCCCCCCCCACCCCGGGATGGACATTCTCCTGTCAGAGCATCTCTCCTTCCACGTGCCGTGCGTGTGAGACACTCCAGAGCCGGTGTGAACAGCAGCGTGAACGACGCTGCACAGAAGGACACTTGGATTTTACTTATTTTAGCGCTGAGTTTTGCAAATTGACTGGTTTTCTTCCTGCGACCCAGGGAATGATTTGGACTCTCAGTTCACAGGTTTCCTTTCAGTCCTCTGTTTAAGGACTATCCCATTTCCACCACTAGAAATCCCATGAAAGAAGAAAGCAGAAATACTTGCAACATCAGCATTAAATCCGAGGTGTATCTTGCCTTACTTTTTGTATCCATGCTGAAAACAGCTGATCATCCACCCGGCTTCAGGGCCGGTGTGAAAACTGCCTTTTCAAGAACCTGATTTTTTTTCGAAGGGCAATAAACCCCAAGGGAGACATGAAATAAGAGGGATGAATAGGCGGGATTCCTCTCCTCTCCCCCAGAGTAGAGTGCGGGAAATCCCTCTGGCCGAGGCATCCCCAGCCCCGTGTCCTGCCCATCACCCAGCCCGTGCCCGTGGTGCCCGAGCCACTGGCCCAGGGTGCCGGGTGTTTTGGCCCCGGCCGTGGAGGTGGCGAGGCGAGGGCACACGTGGGCGACCGGCTCTTGGTGACCGCGTGCGCCTGGATCGGAGCCGCGCTCCGGCGTGGAGGGCGCGCAGAGATTCTCCGGGCTACGCGTGGGAGCACGACGTGCAGGCTCTGATCCAAAGTAGAAAATAAAAGGAAGAAGTTTGGTGAGGCCCCGGAGCGCGGCTGGTGCCCCCCTGGGCCCGGGCTCCTGGGGCTGCCCGGCCATGCCGCATCCCCCCCTGGGCACTGGCCTCGCTCGGAATGTCAGGGAGAAACCCAGCAGCAGTTGACCGACACCAGCGTTTGCCACACACAGAGCTGTGGCTCAGTGGTTTTCTGGGCAGGAGAGATCAGCTTCCAGGCGGCAGCACCAGGAATATTCCCTGCAGTGGCCAGAATGTTTCACGCGGGAGATGGAAAAGCAGCGCGTGTTTTTTTCCCTCTGGATGCTGAGCTGCACTAGGTGGGCTCTGGTTAGTCAGATTTTTGGAGGTGATGTTAATGAACAGAGATTTTCTGTTTCCTGCATCAAGGGAAAGAGACTGTCCGCCATGGAAGTAAGCAGCTCTGGTTTAGATACAATCCCAATGTAAAGAAAAGACTTTTTACTACTTTCCAGATAGTTATTGGCTTTTATATGTTAAGCATTGTCATTTGGGAAACTGCTACCGCAGGCACTGGTTTTGCCCTGGGATATATATGAGAAAATAGCAGAAAGGGGAAGAGAATGAATACATTTGAATTAAGGAAAATACTTTTCCTAAGCAGCTCCGTAGATATCTTGTAAATAAACATGGTCTCTCCTTTGAGAGCCCGTGGGAATCAGAGCAGCTAGGAGGGGAACAAGTCTGAATTAAATACATTGTGTTTGCTAGATAAAAATCAATGGTTTATTCAAGGGGAAAAATATACAGCATGTTCTAATCACTTAGCAGCGTAGCCAAGGCTCACGTTAACTGGGGGAGGTGAGTTAGAAACAGCACTGCTTGCTAGAAATATTATTATGATGAAGGGGTTTTATAAAACCCAGTGAAATCAATTGGATCTTGGAAATAATTAGAGACAGGTTCTTGTTTGACTTTAAGGCTCTCTGAGGCTGCACGTGGCAGAGCAGTGTCTCAGTCCGACTGCAAAATTAGGGTGCTGCTACCCACCCTGAGTGGCACCCACGTAGTAAATAACACCGTGTTTTGAGAGGCACATTTAAACTCCGTTGCGTCATTCCTTTTAGTTACAGGAAACCTGGATTTTCCAGCAGATCTTGTGCATTTGATAGTTGCGTTCCCCGGTTGTGGCATAAATGGGAAAGATATCCTGGGTCCGTGGGGACTGAAATCGGGGAAGATGAGAGTCACGGGTCAGGGAAGGGATGCTCACATGTGTTTTTAACTCGCAATCACCCCTGAAATGGAAAACTCCATATTCTGAAGCAAGGCACCCCCACCTCAGCTACTGCTGACAGACACTGAAGTTTTATGCTGCGTTAGGGAAGTTGTGTTGCATTTGTGCTCTAATTCTGTGATAGAGAATGAGATTCTCCTCCCTATCTGCTCGTGTGCCCTGCTCTGTCTGGCGGTGCCTAGGCGGCAGTAAATGGCTGTCTTCGGGGCATAAGTGATTTTTGAAGGGACAAGCAGTAGCTGGAACTCGGATGACTTTCGGTTAAAGCACTTTCCCAGCCCATTTTCTGAGACCAGAGGGCTGAAGACTCCGAAGACACAGGCACACACCCTGCACTTAATTCCAATTTCTTTCCCCTTGGTGGCCGCTGTCCCCTGGCAGGGCCACTGCAAAGCCCTTACTCCCACCCAAAGCGAGCTAGCCCAAAAGCTTTTAATGCCGTTTTGCCCTCGGGGGCTTCCCTTGCAGGCTGGGGGTGGCATTTTTCCTCTGAGCAGTCTGCTTTCGCCTTTGGTGCTAGAAAAGCCTCAAGATGTGGGCATGAGAGGCTGTCGGCATGGAAAAAGAAATTGGCACAAGTGAAAGCCAAAAATATGTAAACCTAGGAGCTGGAACACAACGGCTCTTAAAACTAGTGAGTTCTCTGTGGTTTGTGTTTTTCATTAATAGATTTCTACGTGCAATCCTCCTTTGCAGGCATACCCAGTAGCGATGGGTTTTGCCTTACTGGTGAGGACTGATCTCTCCCGAAGCGTGGAGATGTTTGGACTTTAACACTTTCTGCCTTTCTGAACCTTTCTCACCGCTCAGCGTCAGTCGTGGCTGTTGCAGAGAAAGCGGCCACCCTGGTCTCGCCGGGGCTGTAGTAGGAGAGGAGGCAGCCGAGGAACCTGCAGCCCTGCTCCTGCGTGCTCTGGTGCTCTGCTGGTTGGAGAAGCAGAAGACCTGGCTTTGCCGTTGACTCAAAAAGACTCAGTTTTTCAACATTTCTTTCGGCTCTGACCCTGCCACGGCCTTGGCGTGGCCGGTGCCTGCTGGCAGGGGGGGTGCAGTTGATTGAATAAAGGAGTGGAAGTCTTCTGAGGACTGATCAGGTTTCTCGCTTGACAGAAGTAAGACTGCAGTGTTTTCTTTCCTGCCGGGAGCATTTTCTAATGCGTTTTCTCTCTCAGCTCGGTCCAGGGCCAAGCTGGGACATGCAGGGTTACGGAGCAATGGAGTTAACCATGTTCTTTCAAACCTCAGAGAGATTTTAGCCCAAATCTGGAGGAAGTTGTGAGCGCCAGTTTTTATCCCAGATGCTTCACTTCGGTCAGCCCCGCAGCACCAGCCAGCGGTTGGAACCCATCCCGTGGCTGAGCGTGCAGCTCACCTGGGCCTTCTGTTGGACTCGCTGGGTGATCTCTGATCTCTGACACTTTGTAAAGCAAAGGCAGAGGGGTCCCATGAGCGAGCAGGAGAGAGCACTTTGCCTTTCGGAGCTCCTTAGCATATTAGTTTCCTTACTTTAAAATCAACACAAATTAAAGGTCTTGCTCTATCCCAAGGGCAAGTTTGACGCTGTCTGCAACAGCCTCTGCACCGTGATCCTGCTGTACTAACCTGCCTCTCCCTTCTCTCCTCAAGTTCATCCATCCCAGGAACCCGGCTGGCTGGAAGGGACCCTCAACGGGAAGACAGGATTAATCCCCGAGAACTACGTCGAGTTCCTATAACTCCGGGCGTACGACGCGCCACTGCTGAGCTCTACATGGCATCCATGGCAGCTGCTGGCGGGAGTCCTGCAGACCATTTTGCTCCTTGCCGCTGTGCGACGGGGGGCGAGGACTTCCCTGTCCCCACCGAGATGAATGTTTGTGTCTCCTCCCGCGGTGCGTGCCGGGGCGGCGGCGGGAGCGCTCCCGGGGAGGCAGCTCCACTCCTCCAGCCCCGAGCAGGGGCGGGTGGTGCCCGACGCCCACATCCCAGCGGGGAGCCCTCGCAGCAATCGGAAAAAAACAAACAAACAAACAAACAAAAAAACAACCAAACAAAAAACCCCCCAAAACAGCAACACAGCAGCTTCATGCCACAGCCCGAGTGCTCTGTAGGGGATGAGCCTGCAAACCGTGAGCCAGCACGAGAGGCACCGAGCCTGATGCTCCCTGCAGTAAGACTCTTCACCGGCTGTAAAGAGCATCCGGGGGGGCCAAGGGACCCCGACCCACGCACCTCCCCGCCGGAGGAAGAGCAGCCACCAGCGAGGAGCCCTTTGCTCCCAGCCCCTTCCCTGCTTTCCGACCGGCCCGAGCGACGCTCTCCCGTGCAGCCGGGGAGCAAGAGCAACCCAGCGCCCCGGCTGCGGCAGGGGAAGGGCCGAGGTGCTGCTTTTATCTGGCAGCAAACCCCGGGCTGCGCCTGCAGCGGGTTCCGCAGAGGCTGGGGCAGCCCCGGCGGGGCGAGCAGAGCTCTGCTCTTGCAGGCGAGAGCGAGGGGCTCTGCGGGGGCAGGGGGGGGCACCGCACCAGCCGGGAGCCGTCGGGATCCGGCAGGCATCAGCACGGTGGAGGGGAGAATGGTTTGGACCAAACCTCTCAAACTTTTTTTTTTAAAACATTTAGATTTTTTTGCGAGGTAAAAATCTGTGATCTGTGCAGCCTGCGTTTCCTTCCTGGAGGGCGAGATGCAGCTCCGGATAAACACCACTCCTCCTGTTTGACTGGCTCTTTTGTATCTCCACTTCCCAAAGCGCGTTGCACAGAGACATCCACGCTTTCGCGAATGCCCAGGCCGCTGATGTGCCATTTTGGAGCTGCGTTTGCCACTCTCCATCGCTGCTTTTTAGGTGGTCTCCTTGCTTGCAGCCTGGCGTGTAGTCTGTCCGTGCCAAGTCTGTGCAGTACTGATTGTGCAAGGTAAATTATTTCCATACTCACGGGACGTTTATTGTTGCCGTGGCCAACCAACCCAGGGTCTACAGAAAACCAAGGACGAGCCCTTCGGTTCCACCACCCCTCCGCTCCTGCCCTGCAGAGGATGCTCCTGCCGCCACGGATGTGCGGCGAGTGGTCGGCAGAGCAAGTTTGCAAATCCCTCGCCGTTTCGGGTTGTTTTTCAGGCAAAGGGTGGGAGAAGGAAGCCTTGTGAGACTGCGGAGCCGGGCTGGCCGGGCGGCAGGTCGAGAGCTGGAATCATTATATTTTGTAATAGAGAATCGTGAAAGAAACCCCAGCCCGTTGGCGGAGAGACTCTTGCGCAGAAGCGACGCTGAGGGATGGCTGTCGTGTCTTTTTGTAATAATTTTAAAGACTCCGAGTGACTGAATTGCTGTATGTGTCACTTTTTATTTTTGAAAGAATTAATGTATAAATAGAGTATCTTAAAATATTATGAGTGAAAGATCTATATTTGATATTTTTAGAAGACCTGTAATGAGAGAAGTGAAGGACATTTGAAACCGGTCACAGAAAAGCGCTTGCAGACACACTCGCACCCACAAGCACCCTCGGGCCCTCGGGCTGCCTTTTCATTCGCTTTGTGGTGTCACTTAGAAATGAGAGAAACTGAAAATTCAGACCTCTTTATGTTTCTGCCACAGTAATTAAACTTCCTGGACTTTTGTCTCGGGGGAAAAAAAAAAAAGAAAAAAAAGAGGAAAAAGGTGACCTTTCTTTTCCTGATTTGCAGGGCGGGTGCGGTGCAGCTCAACCCCCCCGGGACGGTGACCGGCCCCTCCGGGGACGCCGGGGCACATCGCCTGCCCGGGGGATTCCGAACTGCCCCATGGTTTCTGCTTTAAGGTGTTAGATGAAGAGGGCTGAGATGTTTGTGGGGATAAAAGCCGGTGTTTCACTGGCAAGTTGCTGGTTCCTGTTCATCCCTGGATTTAACAGTGGATGTTTGTACCATTTGTTGCTTTTCCTGAAGCAGAGCATCGGGCTGGGCTTTGTCCAGGCCCTCGGGGGCTGCTCCGAGCTGGCTCTGGCACCCGCACGGCTGGGGCAAGCTGTGCTGAAACCCCCGTCCGGGGCTGTAGGAGAGGGACAGGCTGGAGTAATGGCAAGGAGGGGAAAAAAAAAAAAAAAAAAGGCTTAATATTTCATCCATCAGCACTATTTGCTTGTGTTGGAGACCAGACCAGCTCAAGCAGCCCCTCCACCACGGTCCCTTGGCCTTCGTGGGACGCTGCCGGAGCCGGTGGCTTTCAGCTCAGACTGGGGTTCTCAGCACGACCTTCTGTCTCAGACCTGACTCTCAGCCTTTGAACAAAAAGCATAATATGGACAAATGAGAATTTCAACCACATCAGAAACACCTTAAAAGGCATATTCAAGGGCTACGGTAGTTAGGGGCCTCGTTAGGAATGCTGCACAAGCACCAGCACAGGCTGCTGCCAGTCCTTATTCCCACAAAACCTTTCAGCTCAATGTCCCCCTTTGGCTCTTCAGAGCTCAAGTTAATCTGAGATGGGAGTAAATTCCTTTTCCTAAGCACTTTGGAGCTTTTGGATATGCTACCTAGAGAGTAATTGGGAACAAAAGGCCCACGCAAACGTATTTACAAGATGTCATATGGAGGAAAGAAAAATAAAGCATAAGCAGAAGTTATTGCTCTTACAGGAGAGCTAGTGGAATGTTTTTTTTTTTTTAATTAAAACTTTCCAGAACGAAAAATTTGTCTGAAAGGCTTACTACATGTTCCCATTTTGGGCCAGCTTTAATGCTGGAGTAAACATCGGTTTATTCCAAGAGAAATTCAAGTCAGAAAATATTTTTTTAAACAAGCTTGACATGGCACTTGATGCTTAATATTAGTCATCAGTGAAAATTAATAGAAAGCAGGGATAGTGAGACTTGCCAATAGGTAAAGTCTCTCCTGTATTCCCTGTCCCATCGTTTTAGGCATTAAACAAACAAAAGAAAAGGCACAGTGTAGTAATACCTGTTGAAACAGATGTCAAACGAGTCTTGGGGTGCAGTCCTGCCGTGTTTCAAGTCAACAGCACAAGTCCCACAGGTTGGCCATGGCCAGGCCACCACGCACCAGCCTTGGTCCGACACACGTGGCAGTTCCGAGGTCCCCACGGGCCCGTGTTTGAGCTGCTGGCCCTTGTCTCTTCACTGATTTCACAGGGTTTTGCGGCAGGAAGTGAAGCACCTCGGATGGTTTGGGAGTACCCGGGCTGCTGCTAGTGTGTCATGCAGGGGTGTGGTGTGGGGTGGAGTTGGACTGGGTTGGGTTGGATTGCATTGGGATTGGTGTTGGGGTTGTGTTGGGTTGGATTGGATTGGGATGGGTTGGGTTGGGTTGGATTGGATTGGATTGGGTTGGGTTGGGTTGGGTTGGGTTGGATTGGGTTGGGTTGGGTTGGGTTGGGTTGGGTTGGGTTGGATTGGGTTGGGTTGGGTTTGGGGTTGGGTTGGGGTTGGATTGTCTTGGGATTGGGCTGGAGTTGGTTTTGGGTGGTTTGACTGTTTTTTCCAAGCAGGCTATTACCCAGTAAGAGCAACAATTTCAGACTCCATCCACAAGTTCTTCAGATTCCCACCTGGCTCTGCAGTCAGACAAAATATCATCCTGATAATTGTCTTGTCTCGAGAAGACTTCTGCCGAGTCTGGTGGCCTGAACAGCAGCCCAGACCATTACAGCTAATTACAGCCGTGCTTCGTGGCCGCTGGCGGGGCTCGGTTGTTGCTGTGACACGGGGATATGTGGCTGCTCTGTCCTCAGCACCAGCGCATTAAGCTGCAGTCGGGCTCCTGCAGGTCCCTGCAGCTGCTTAACGCGGGCTTGGACTGACCGGCCGTCGTACGCTGCATGGCCCTGGCTGCTCTGACCATCACGGCTCCCCGGGGCGCCGGAGGGGTCGGACCTGCTCGCACGCGGTACGGCTGTGGACGTACACCCAGGAGCACCTACACCCAGGAGCACCTACACAGCGGTGTGTCCGTCTGCGCCGGGGCACGGCGAGGCCGACACCTTCACGTCGGGGAGCGGGCTGCCCTCCAGCCCCAACACCGAAGTTTTGTGATGGCGATTTCAGGCTCCACTGCCACTTTGTGTTGTATACTGCAGTTGAAGCTCTGGAATTTTCCCTCGAAGGAGGATGTCGCTTATTTTGGTTTTGCTTCTGCTGACAGCTTACAAGAGGGTGGCAGGGAGGGACGGGAGGTGGGTGCTCGTTAGAGCCTCGCCGCGCTGGCACGTCTGGGGCCCTCAATAGCCAGCTGATGGCTCTGTTTAACTAAAGAAGAATTATTCCTGTTTATCTGAGAGATTTCACAGCACAAATCCAAACAGCTTCAAGTAATATTTAAGTGCCCAGGGTGCCTGCAAGAGCCTTTCCTTTATTTCTGGCCACAGTCTGCCCCTGAGGCCACAGGTGATGCTTGGGCACGAGGAGCTGCAGTCCCCTCAGCTCTTTCTTTTATATTATTTTTCAGGAGGATTTTGTCTGGCGTTGGGACTCTCCTCCAATGGCCTGCACCCCTCTCGGGGCAGTACTGCGGGTAGTGGGGGGTTTCCTGGAAGCTGCTGCTTGGGGAAAGGGGAGATTGGGTCAGCAGGCTCCTCGCAGCCGGCCGAAACACCGTGGTAGATGTTGCCCTTCTCCCTTGAGACCCGCAGCCATCCCGGTGCCGGGGAGCCACAACCAGTGGACAAACATCAGGAAATCAAAAGAGCAAAACACCAGGTCACAGGCGATGCGGTGGGCAAGGGCTCGTGGAAAGGGTTTTTCCACAGATAGACACAGAACGTTACTCGACTGCTGTTTTACAGAGGTTTTGATGCCCAGAGCCAGAACCTCTCCCTGTGTGAAGGCCTTTAAGCTGTAAGCACGTGGTGATGCCCACCATACAAAAGTTGAAAAATATCAATGGTGTGCTTTGCCACGGGAACGTGCCAAGGGTCTTCTGCTTCTCCCCATGTCCACAGAGAGCTTTGCCATGCACTTTCCTGCAGTATTTACCTCCGCAAGCTGTTTGCTGCAAGGGGATTTTCTACCCCGAGCCCAACTGGGGCTCCTGGGCTCATCCAGCCCCGCGAGGCTGGTGAGACCCAGCCGAGACTTCGCCGCTCCCAGCACCACTGGCAATGCCAGGCAGGCCTTGACAAGCTGTCCCACTTACAGCTGCTGCCTCACGAGGAGAAAGGAATAAGAAAAAAGAAAAAAAACTACCCCAAAACTTGGTTTTTCTTTCCCCAAAGCACTTTTGGAAAAGTTCGTTTCCTCTTTGCAGTTTTGCAGTGACACATCCTTCCTACAGCGACGTCATTTGCATTTTCAGTGTTCAAGTCCATAGTCCCAAAAAGGCAAAAAAAAAAGTTCCTCAGCCCCCCCTGGGAAATCCTTTCGCCCCTGCTCAGGCTCAGCACCATCCCTCTGTCACCGGCGGAGTGGTCCCATCCCTGCGCCTCCCTGCCCCTGCTCCCCAACCAAAATCAGCCCCCGAGCCCTGCTCCTTATCGGCGTGTTGGGTGCGATCTCCAGGAATGATTGAAATAGCACAAAACTCGTGATTCCAGAGCTCGCGGGAGCAGCGCGCAGTAAATCACGGCCAGCCTGGAATAGCGCTTGGTAATAAAATACAGAGCACAGAAATATCCTCCCGCCGGGCCACCTGCGAGGGGCTGTGCGTGCGGTGCAGCCGGGCACCACAACAGATACCACCGAAAAGCAAACCAGTGTTGGTGCTCGAGACAAGGAAACTTTATTTCCCTGGAAGCAGGCACAGGCTTGATTGCACATAAGCCTTTTTCCACTGGCTGGGAAGACATTTGCTCAGCAATTCTGGGGCTGTTTCACGAGCCTTGGTGGGCATGAGCACGGCCCCCTGTGCCCAGAGCCCTGTTCCCTTAGCAGCGCATCCGTCCTGGGGGCTTCCCAGAGGCACCTGGGATGTGAGTCTCTTCTTTTTCCCTTTTTTTTTTTTTTTTTTGATCTTTTTTTTTTTTTTCAGCAAGATTTCAACATTGTCACTTGCTTTGAAGACAAGGATGGAGGCGTGAGCAAAGGAAGCGATGTCAGCATGGGGAAAAAAAAAAATTAATAAAAAGTGGAATTTGCATGTTCAGCCTGCAATCTGTGTCAGTGGGTCAGAGAGGGCTGTGCATGGTGTGCTGTGAAGGGGATCAAAAGGGAGCGGGGATGGGGAAGGGGACAAAAGGGGTGGGGAAGGAGATGGGGAAGGAGATGGATAAGGGGATAGAGCTCCCTTACCTGTGATGCTGGGCAGCTTGTCCCTGTGGAGCAGGGGCAGCTGGGCTGTCTGCTGGCAGAGGCACAAGCATCCTCCAGCATCCTTCTGGGGAGACTTTGGAATTTTATTTTAATAGCTGCTTATATTTAAAGGCCAAACAAGCCCAGCGTCTAACGTCACCTCTCTCA